ATAATAATAATAATTTTTTTAAAAAATAATTGATGCTTTTAGGCTCTTATTTTGGAGAGGAGTACTGAATATCCCATATAGAAGAGTACTGAGTTTGCTGAAACAACAAATAGACATGTCTTGGAGAAAGTACCATCCAGATACTCCTTGGAGACAAGGATGACAAAGCTTCATCTCACATAGTTTGAGCTTATTGTTATGAGAGGCTATTGCTTGGACAGGGGTATCATGCTTGCAGAGCTAGAGGGTCATTGAAAGAGGAAGACCCTCAAGCAGATCCATTGATACTGTGACTGCTGAAATGGGCTCAAGTAGGTCAGAAATGATGACGATGACACAGGACAGGACAAGATTCAGGTCTGTTGTTCATAGGGCAGCTATGACTAGCACTTGCCTTAATAGAATCTAACAATAAAAACTAACTGATAGCGTAGTCCACAGAAAAGTGAACTGCTAGCCCAAAAGCAATGCCTCTTTGATAGTTCAAATCCACTGGCAGCCCGACTGGGGAAAGATGGGTAATCTGTTCCCATGAGATTTACAGTCTCTAAAAACCTACTATTAATCCATTTCAACTTGACTGCAATGACTCTGACTTTGACTGTATTATTTACAAAGAAACATCTTCAAATCTAGAAACCATTTTTCTAAATTTCTTGAATTCCATTATAATACCTGGCCAATTTTACTTCTCAGAGAGTATTTTAACCTTTTCTCTATTGCTCTTCCTACCACTCATTCTGCAGATTGTGTGGTTTGTACATGATAAAGGAGTAACTTATACTACAGAAAGAAACGTCACATTTTAGCAGAGAATTTCTTTTCTAGGGGAGTTCTGGTGGTCAAGTGGCAAGAAGCTGTGCTGCAATCCTAACGGCACAAAGTCCAAATCCACCAGCTGCTCCAGGAGAGAAGAATAAACAATCTTTTCTTGTATCATTAACTGCCTCTGAAAACCCATCAGAGGGTCAGCTCAGGGTCAGATCCAACTCTGGGGTACACAACAGCAACATAATAGCTATGCATCTAAAAATGCTAGAGTATTTAAAAATAGTTTCCAATTAGATTGCAGAAATCTGCTCATCCTATTACTAGTCTTTGATCTAATTCCCAAATACAAACACAGTCCATGAATTAAATATGTTGCTATGTCAAACCAGGAACAACTCATAACTAAACCTCCTGTTAGATTTCAGAGGCAGTAAATCACACAACAGGAGCAATTACGCATCTTTATCCCATGGAGCAGCTGGTAGATTTGAACGCTGTGCTTTTGAGCTAGGAGAGCAGCTCCTTACCACTAGGCTGTCAGAACTTCCTGAATTAAATACAGTCCACAAATTAGCTATAGTATGTGACAGAGGCACAGAGAGGATAGTTAGGGCTAGAAGATGATGGCACTCAATAAGTCACTTTGACGTCACATAAAAAGATTTATATAGTTGGAGAAAAGAAAATACAAACAATAAACACATATACATCTTCAGAGACTCGATGGATGTTCACTGTGAAGCAGCATCAATGCACCAGAGGTCCATGTAGGCCTCTTACAGCTGAAATTTAGTTTGAATCTTGTGAGTCTTCAAAGCTACATAAGTAAAATGCAAAAATAGTTAATGATAGTTCGTTTTTTTAAAAATTTCAAATTCTAACTCTCTTCCACATAAAAAGTGAACACACAAATATACCTTAATAACTTCATTAAGGAATGAGAGAACAAAAAAGAAAAGGTAACAATCCTCCAGAGAGGATCTGAGGAATGATGATTTATAAATTTATTCTCTCTCAACGTCCTAGAGAGGGTGAGACCAGGCTACTCCTTGGAGGCAAGGTTTCTGAAGCTTCATCTGACATAACTTTAGGCCTGTTGCAAGGTGGGATTAGTCCTTGGAGAGGGGAGAGGGACATTATGCTAGGAAGGGTGGAGGGACAGCACAAGAGAGGAAGACCCTCGATGATATTCAGTGACTGGGTAATGGGGTACGTGTGTCAGAGACAATAAGATTGGCACAGCACAGCAGGGTTTAGGGCTGTTGTACATAGAGTTGCTGTGAGTTGCAGGCAACTCGATAGCACATAAAAACCACCAAATAATCAAACTGGAATATCTATAGAGTCATTACTGAGTGTATAATTACCAATAACTTAAACAAGGTCCGGGAGGTTTTTGGAATTCCACAAAATGAACGTGAGCATACTCCAATCAGTCCTATAATTCCATCCATGAAGATCAAATGATAGAGGTAACTCAAAGGCAGCAGGCTGCAAGATTAAGACCTGATATCTAGTTTCTTCATTCTCTAGAAGCATCTCTGGTGCCATAATCTATCACAGGTAGTGCTGCTAACCAAAAGCTGCCTCTCTCTCGTAGTTTAAATCCACAGACAACTCACAGAAGAAAGATGGGGAGCCCCATCCAGCTAAGATTTACTATCCCACAAACTGAATAAAGAATCCGCATGAAACAGAACGAACTCGTGGCAGTGAATCAGTAACCAGTCTCTTAAATTTTTATCAATTAATTCCTTCCCTCCAACAACTTGCCATTTGGGCTGATATAATACATTGGATATTTCTATTACAATTTCAATAAGTGGTAAATGCTAAGTGATCAAACTATTGATTCATTATATAAAAGCAAGTAATATCTCATACATGGTCTAGAAGATAAATAAATTATACTAGATAAAATGTGATCAATTGAAACAATTTTAAAAATGTGTTTTTAAAATTTGCTGTTATTTAAATAATAAATGGCTTGTTATTTTCTCAGGGATTTCAGGACATGGGAAGAAATCTAATGTACTGACAGTATATTCCAGGAAGCTGTCTGCCTGACAAAATACTTACACTGAGAAAATGCTCTATTCAATTTGAAAACTTTAAAATCTTGTAGAAATTTAGGCATGATCAAATGAACTTTAGAAAATTATCTTAAATCCCTAGGACTTGCACGCATAGAACCTAAAAATGTGACACGCAGAAAGCTCAATTACTGATTCAGCTTCAGTGCTTGTAAAGATACCACTTAGAAAGTTCCTGAAAAGATTCAGAAAATAAATCAAACACTATTACATTATCTATTAGGAGTCTAGACAGTCTCCTCATAACATATACTCAAATATAACTGATACACTAAAGCTTTCTTTCTCTTTCCAGAATATTATTTCCATATCTCAGTACCAGATAAAAATAAAAGGAGCACTTATGAGTTCCCTAGTCAAATAAAAGTGAATAAATTTCCTGGTGTATTATTAGGCTTACTTTAAATTGTGAAGAGTTCTACAAAATGGAAAAAGAATGCTTTTTTGATGTATCAGTCAGTTCTTCTGTGTTTAGCATCTCCAGTTTTCATGGATTATAAAGTCTTTTAGGACAGAAGACCGTCTCTACAAGACCATCATGTAGCATTCCTAGCTTTAAAGGCAGGTATGATTTCAGTAATATGCTGTATTTAGGGCTCTATTAGGCATAACTATGGTTGCCTTTGATTTATTCATTAATGTGAGGAAGCTGAAATTTTCTAAACCCTAATTTTTGAAGGAAAAAAAAGAAATGATCTCTGCATGAAACCATCTGCAGTATATGCTTGCAGTGACTCATTTTTAGCATTGAAGCATCTCATTTTGATGGAATTTCTCATCTACTTCACAAATCTCTTTAAAGAGTATTTATCACTGATAAATCTTTGTTAACAGAGTAATAAATTAATTACAAGAAATTCAAATTCCTATTAAATTGCATCTTAAAGAACTCATTTAAGTTTGATAATCTATTCATGCAAATTAATTGATTCATCACCAAAGAAGAATGAAATGGGTACTCACGCAGGTCTTATTGTCCGAGCGTGTTTTCCATGGACAAAGGCACCAGCAAGACCTCCTGCCCCTGAATTTAGATACTGAATTGAAAGGAAATTAAAATGTAGGGCATAATCTAAACACAGGAGCAAAATTAAACAATACGACCACTTCTCTTTTTTTAATGAAATTAACTTTCAGCTATTTAAAAATGTGTAAATATTAGGGCTTGGATTGTAAGATATATTGTTTTATATGTAACCTTATTAAAAGAAAACAAATAAGAAGTAACATTATTAGATTTAAGACAAGTAGCCATCCCACTTCTGGCAGAACAAAACACATTTTAAAAGAAAACCAGCTCAGCATTGTAAAAGAAATATGAGAGGCTTGGATAAGACTAATTCTTTCAAGCTAATTAAATTATCGTTATGCCTATACACAGGGCTTGAGAAGGTGGTAAAACAGACTGATTCAATTGACTTGAACTTTAGCAACTCCATTTTCTCTATCATATTGTAAACCTTAATAAAGGAGATACTCATTTTACAGATTACAAAAACGTTTGGTGAGTTTAGATATTTTTCCTTGATAAGATTATTAATATTCAAAGAGCAGATTTATCTCTACCAAAAAAAGATGAAACAATACAAAACAGAAAATGTCATTTTAGCTAAGAAAATGTCCACAAATTACATTAACACTTGCTCAGTATGTCCTTAAAATATAATGAGAGTAAAGATACTCAATTTACAATGTAGTGGATATATGGGTTGGAAAATCTGTTTTGCTTATAAAACAGATTATAGCTAATATATATATATATATATTTTGTGGAGTTCAGAAGAAGCAATGCAGGTAGGCTACAGGAGAGACTAGATCAGGAACTAGAAAGACCTCAGAACC